GGGAGATATTAAAACATTGGTTTTGATTTTGTTGCTATTTTTTAGCTCTTTGTATTGGTCTCCACGCATTGAGAAAGGTGAAAACATTTTTTAACTGTCTGTCATATTTCATCAGTTGACACCGTGGAGATGTCATGATTTTTTTTATGAATGTGTATTATCTGACAGAAGTCTTCTGTCAGCATTTTTTTGATGTTCTCTAAATAAGACCCAAAAATCACGTTGTGTACTTTTGCAAAGGTAACTTCTTGGTAATATAAAAGTCTCTAATTGCTTTGACTTAGGAAAAAATGAATTAATTGGCTTTTCAAACCCTGGTCTTTGAAAGCTGTGCCGTATGTTGGAGGAGAAAGTACTTCCCTGTGGCCAAAAAATAAGTTTCTGGATCAATTTTTTTCTTAGGTGTGTATCTGTATATAATACTGTTAAATGTGCTATTCTCCTAGGTGACTATAAATTGTTAGATTTTTTCCCCTCAAAGACAACAATAAAATTACTTCTAAATTCTTAAATTGACACAAATACCATTGCTGTGTCTGATTTGGGAATGTTGGGGTCTGCCAAGTTGCTAGTGGAATTACATTCATTTCAAAGTTAGCCCTGATTAGCTCTGCACAAGGTTTTTTTCCAGTCCATGCAATTTGGATTATCATACATATGGTAGTATCTGGGCCTGTCAAGATAATGGGATATTTTATCGTGAACCTCAATTACACTTTGAATGAGAGCAGTCTTTTGCACAACAGAGCAAAAGGAGAATTTTCTTTCACCGTGTTTTCTTCTTATACATCTGATTTATCCTGCCCAAAATGGCAATGCTTTTGACCTCCTTAAGATTTGTATGCTATGTTTTAAGCACTGATAGGTTACAGTAGGTTTTGAAACCTTCCATCTTTTGTCCATCCTTTATTCTGAGTCTGTGAACTCTGAGCTACTAAACTACAGGTTGGTAATCAGAACAGAAAAAATGGAAAAGGATGCATGAACCTGTTAAAAATGTGCTCAAATTACTTGGTTCTGCAAACCAGTTAAGTAAGGAAAAAGCAGTTAATTCACTTGGAGTTCTTTTTTTTTTTTCCTAACGTGTTGCTCAGTGAGGAAGACTGGAAATGCTGGTGGGATTGAAGCAGGGGGAAGAATGTGACCAGTGGGGACCCATCCAAGGGAGAAGACCAGAGTTTGCAGGAGAACGCGAAAGGGCTGCCTTAAGGATGGTCACACAGAAGCCTCACCTGAACTTTTCCTTAAATCTGTCTGGATTTTCTGCAGTGTATTCACTGCACAGTGTGTTCACTGAGAAGTTGAGTGTGCAACCTGCTCTCTCACTAGGCACTGGACCCAGCAAGGCTGCTGCAGTTCACCCTGAGATGCGTTGAGCCAAAATGGGCTCTGCAATGCACACAGTCTGAGGGCAAGGTGCCAGCCTCTGCTTCACAGTCGTATCTCCAGTATGGAAACACAAATGACTTTCCCTTCTTATTTTTTTTTCGTTTATTTTGAGCCTGTTCTTACCTTTTGAAATAGCTGTGGCACTGTGGAAGACATTCCTTCTGACTGCAAAATAGAAGATGGAATCAGCTAGTCAAAATAGCAGTAATGACTTGCAAGGTGGCTGCTGCTGATTGCACATGCAAGTTCTTGCTGGCAGACAGGGTGAGAAAGAAGAGCTTGTGTGTGCATGTTGTATTGTAACAGAATTTGGTTGTTATTTTCCGTGTTCTACAAAATCAGTTAAAGCAAGCCCAAAGTGCTAGTGCTGGTGTGTGCTGCCCAGCCAGAGGTTACTCAGTAGAGCTCTGTCCCTGTCCTGAGTGTGCACAGAATAGTGGGTCTGGCTGCACATTTGGACACTCCAAGAGTGCTTTTGCACTCCTCCTTTATAACTTGTATTGGAAATCCCAATTGGCTTTTAAAGCAAAAAACCCCTGTGTAAGTAAATATATTCTCCATGCACACACTTTTGGGCAGAGGAGAGAGAAAAGTCTGAATTTTACATACAGACATAATTGTATATTCATTCTGAGGATGGATGACTAGGCAAAGCCACTCTTTCATTTGACTGAGTAAAACTTTGAAAGGTAATCAGTGCATGTATGGAACACTGAACTCTTTTTGTATCAGTATTTTCTGGGTAAGTGCCATTTAAATCAATGTAAAAATGCTTTAAAAGTACAAATTCACTATTTCTTATGCAGACAGCTGGCTCTTTATGTGGGATATATTTGTGTACTTTGATAGAAAGGAATATTTAAGCAATATGTTTTAGGTTGGTCATTGGCTATGCAAAACCCAAT